TATCTCCGCTGTTCTTGCTCTTCAACCTGTCCCTGACATAAGTATATGTCAACATGGCTTCTTTCCTGGCCGCTCCGTGGAAATAAATCTCGTCAGCTTTACGTCGTTCTGTATGGAAAGTGTATGCAAGAAACTTCAAGTGGATGCCATCTATACTGATTTTAAAGCTGCGTTTGATAGACAAGGGCGTAGCCAGGTTTCGAGCTAGAGAAATATTTGGCCGAATGCCATTTTACCGAACGCCATTTCATGTAAACGCTTTGTGTTGCTGAGTTTAGAGGAGGCAGTTGCCATACCCCCCCCCCTCTGGCTACGCCTATGGATAGAGTTGTGCACGACGTTCTGCTAGTAAAGCTTGATGTTCTGCTTCCTACTGCAATTGGCTTAGATAGTACCTCGTGCAACGTGAAGTTACTGTATGCATTGGAAACTACTCATCGTACTGCTTCTTGAACAGCTCATTAGTTCCACAGGGTAGCACTTTGGGACTACTGCTCATCTTTTTATTTGTGAACGATGTAACGTTTATTCTGCTACGTGGAGGTAAATTATTCTTCGCCGATGACTTTAAGATTTACCTAGTCGTTCGAGGCTTTGCTGACTGTTTGAAACTACAAATCCTTCTTTAATTATTGGTTTGAACGTAATTTTATGGTCCTGTGCGTCTCACAGTGCTGCGTAATCTGTTTCCGTCGAACTAGGAATGCGGTTTTGTTTGATTATAACGTTGCTGGGACTGCACTTCAACGTGTCGATCAGGTTAAAGACCTTGGTGTCATGTTGGATGAAAAACTCACGTACGTTCGACACTTCTCAACCACGATCGACAAAGCAAATCGTCAGCTTGGATTCATGTTCAAGATCTCTAAGGAATTCCGTGGGCAACGTCTAAAGAAACGAAACATCAGCTCAAAAAAGAGTGGAAATTTATTTTTGCAATCAACGAAGATTATAATTATGCTGAAAATGTGCTTAAGGCAAGATTTGAAGATTTAGTAGCAATATTTGGAACTAAGAAATATAACATCTATTTATTCCCAAAGACGAGCGAAGCAAATATGCCAGTGAATATTTCGATCAGTCAGATTCCTTGGACAATGCTTTCTTCTTGATAATACCAAAAAACGTAGACGTGTAAATGCTCTATTAATGTTTGCGTCGAGGGGGAAGACAGTGAGAAACTAAGAGCAATCCAGAGTAACTCTGAGGAACACTTTTGCTCTCTGATGAACGATTTTATTATCTCGATTCTTTTGACAGCGCAGTCCAAGGAACGTTAGTTTTTTCAGCCGGTGATCTATTCCGTAAAATACACTCAATTCATCGGAGAACCTATTAGCAAAACAAACATCACGCAATAACGTTGCTATTATGATACAAAATAAATGGGGCTAGGGGGGCGTATGTGGGGGTCTGGTGGAATAGTTTGTACGTTTTTATTTTTTGTTCTAGCAACCGAGACCCCCGAGTACTACGGTAGCAAAATCCTGGTCAATTTCATTATCACTGCAAAGAGAAAAGTGTCCTGCAGAAAGCCATCATCAGAGTGATTTAAGAAAATAGCCAAAACTACAATGCACTGGTAGAAAACGAGATTATTTCCTTATATAAATATTGCTTCCATTTATTTTCTTCATTCATTATTTTCGTTTCGTTTTCGAACTGACATTTGCACGGTCAGATTCCAAAACTATATGCCCTACTAATTTTGTTTTCGTCACAAATAAGATCAGATCCCAAAGCAAACCAGAGTAGCTCTGAGCAACTCTGAGTAAAAGAGGTACTCAAATGAAAGCCGTCTTCCCCCCTCGGTTTGCATTATAAGAAGGCTACGGAAGACATAAATGTTCAAACTTAAGAATTGATTTTTTGATCATCTTATATTTGAGTCAAAATTCCTGAAGTGGACCACTGATTTTTCACAAATCATTGGATTCCGTTCAAAATACGTCTATATATTGCTCTTACCACGACAAACAATAACCCAAAATATTTCGGCAAAATTCGCATTTAAACAAAAGTTATAAACAATTAAGTTTTTTGGACCCTTTTTTCGAAAAAATATCTTATCTCTAGATCGGGCCAATGAATTTTTCTCCAGTTTTGATATAATCACAAGAAGACATGTTTCTTCCAAAATCACTAAAATTTATTCATCAAAAATGTAATTTGTTTATAATAATTACAAATTTTTTTTATAAACAAATGCAATTTTTTTGGTGTTCTCCGCGTGATACAAGATTGCTTTTTTTTTAGAATTGTTTCCTGACTTTTTTCCCATACAGAACCGTTTCAACATTTTTGTCACCAGTATTGGGAGCCGAGTTATAGCAATTTTTGTAACGCGCCGCACCAAGCGCGCGGCGCCGCGACGCGCCGCTCGCGCGCGAAGCGAGTCGCTACGCGCTCTTGGTCCGAACTTGTTTCCTCGTTTCGTCTTTCCCGTGTCTTTCCCGATGCGTGAACGCGCGAGCGGCGCGACGCGGCGCCGTGCGCTTGGTGCAGCGCGTTACAAAATTTGCTATAACTCGGCTCCCAATACTGGTGACAAAAATGTTGAAACGGTTCTGTATGGGAAAAAAGTCAAGGAACAATTCTAAAAAAAAGAAATCTTGTATCGTGCGGAGAACACCAAAAAAATTGCATTTGTTTATAAAAATTGTAATTATTATAAACAAATTACATTTTTAATGAATAAATTTTAGTGATTTTGGAAGAAACATGTCTTCTTGTGATTATATCAAAACTGGAGAAAAATTCATTGGCCCGATCTAAAGATAAGATTTTTTTTTCGAAAAAGGGTCCAAAAAACTTAATTGTTTATATCTTTTGTTTAAATGCGCATTTTGCCGAAATATTTTGGGTTATTGTTTGTCGTGGTAAGAGCAATATATAGACGTATTTTGAACGGAATCCAATGATTTGTGAAAAATCAGTGGTTCACTTCAGGAATTTTGACTCTAACTTCATTTAATTTTTGTATTACGAAACCATAAATGTGTACCAGGCAGCCATTGGAACTGTCGGCCGCTTGAGGCCACCAATATATGCTATGAAAGGTCATAACGAGTACTCCACGAGCATTCGAAATTTTACTTACTCAAAGTATTTAAAATTTCCACAGTGAATGTGTCTTTTTCGCAACGGGACACCATAATAATGCGGTTGTTTTTGAAACTGTTGAAAATTGAAGTGAAATATATTTTTATAAGTCATTGAATCTAGACCAACAATTGAAATAGGCGAAACAACCAAACATAAACAATGGTTTTAATCGCAAATTTCTGGAGAATCAAAATACACCCATGCAAACTAACAATACCATTCGATAAAGGAAGTTTGCTCGATCAGATTGCGTGGATGTGTTTTGATTTTCGAGAAATTTTCGATTAAAGCCATTTTTTCCGTTTGGTTGTTCAGCCTATATGAATTGTTGGTCAAGAAATATCTTTCTTGTCCATGTATAACAAAATTAGCAAGTATGGAAGGATTTTGGCTTCACACGTTTATAATTAAAGCGTCAACGGCGCCGGTGGTGTAGTGGTAAGCGTGATTACCTCTCACCCCAGCAGGCCTGGGTTCAATCCCAGTCGGTGCCGTCGGGATGTTCTGAGGCATAACATCTCTGATCACGCCTTCCTTCGGATGGGAAGTAAAGCCGTTGGTCCCCGGTTCATGTGTTGATGGGTCGATAGGTAGGGTCCAGGTGTGGGAGAGCTGCCTTCCTGGCACGTCGGTAGCATTGGTGCTCAGCACGGAAAACAAGATCGAAGGAAAAAAACAAACCAAAGGAAAAAAAAAATTAAAGCGTTGAAAATCAAAATTTCTCATGTTCATAATGCATTTTGATGAAGTGTCCCAATAATTTGTAAAGCATTTTTAAATAAAATAAGTGTCATTCTTTAAAGCATGGGCCATCATATTCAGCGATAAGCTCTCGTTCGATTGCCGACAGATTTTGACCTTCAGACCTGTCAAACAAAAGGTCAAAAGGACAAACATTCGAAAAGACAAAAGGCCGAATGTACAGAAGGTCGAATGGACAAAAGGTCGAAGGGATAAAAGGTCGAACGTACAAAAGGCCGAATGGATAAAAGGACCAATGGACAAATGGTCGAATGAATCAAAAAGGGACGAAAGGTTGAATGACTCAAAGAGGAACAAAGTAAAGCTCACTTGACCAGATGGCAAATAGAGGAAACAAAAAAAAATTCTTGATTTGTTTTCCGTCGATCTTGTTTTTCGTACTGAGTACCAATGCTACCGACGCAGCTCCCATACCTGGACCTTACATATCGATCCATCAACTCACGGACCGGGGACCAACGGATTTACTTCCCTACCGAAATAAGTCGCGATCAGAGATTTAATGCCTCAGAAAATCCCGGCGGTGCCAACTGGGATAGAACCCAGGCCATTTGGAGTGAGAGGCAATCAGGCTTACTCTTAAAATCACTGAAATATGATCCCTGAAATAGTGACAAAAAATAAGTTTTTTTTTTATTTGGGAACTCCCAGGGCCTTGACCATTTCACAGAATATTCTTTGGCATAATATGATCAGTTGTATTTTTCGATCATCTTTGCCATATTCGAGGTAATTGGGTTTAACTACTAGTTTTTCAATGAACCATCATAAATGGCGGACACTTGACCTCAGACCTCAAGCATATTAGTTGGGAATGTTGCAATCAAACTCATTTAAAAAGGAAACCAAGCAAAACGATGATATTTTTACAAACATGAGTCATATTGACAATCTAATAAAGTGCACACATTACATATGGACGTAGTTTATTTTGCCATTCATTGTTCAAAACTATGCATTTTACCCTTATCAGTGCTCTCAGTGTACTCGTCGCTCTTACATTTGCGTATTCTGTACTAAACCTTTGTTAATGGAACGATTATTCATATTTGGAAACATAAAAATGGGTATTTCCCACTGGGCTTCAACAAACACTAAATGATATTTGATGTTTACATTTTGATTTGTTTCAGTGATTATGAACTCGAAGAACAACTCACGGAACACGCCATCGTAGCAGAAGCTCGAAACGTGTTCATTCCCCAGGAACCTACCCAACACAGCCCTTACTACGACAATGATGAATTCAGTGACACTGATTCGTTTGACTCATCCAGCGACGATGATGATGATGAACACGCAGTCAATTATTCAAGGCCAGATTCGAATTCTTCCCTCAAATCTGAGTATGTTAGAGAGTCATGTCATAAAATAATACATGCTTATTTATTCTTCAATCATTTTGCTGTAGGCGCATCACAAATATTATGAAAGAGCTGTTGGAAAATGAGGAAAACTACGTACAAACCCTTGAGAAGGGTATCGAAAATTATATCAGCATCATGAATAACAAAGACCTACCTCCAGCATTAAGAGGGCAGCGATATCACATCTTCGGCAATATTGAAAATATATACTCATTCCACAGAGACAGGTTCCTACCGAAGCTTCGCAATAACTGTGCCAGTATTCAAGGTATCGCTGAGACCTTCATCAAATTAATTGAAGATGATAGATTCTACTGCTACATTCTGTTTGCACTGAACCGACCAAACTCGGAAAAGATATGCAATAAAAACTTGGACTTCTTTCAAGTATGTATTCAACGCGTAGCTGGACACCCGTTGCTTAATTTTAATTTCCAATTGTAGGAAAGGCAAAACCAGGTTGGTGATAAATTAGGACTAAACAGCTTCCTTCTGCAACCGATTCAACGATTGCCGAGGTACAAGCTGCTACTGTCAGAGATAAACAAAGAAGTTCTGAAACTGATTGCGGATGCCCTGATGGATTCAGTGAAAGATGAAATTGGAATACTCTGCAAGGCAGAAAAACGCTTGGAACGGTTCATAGATGTCGTAAACGAGGCTATGAGCATAAACGATATTTGCGAATGCTACGAGGTAAGTAATCATGCAATAGATGCAGCTAGTCGTGATCCAACATCGAACTCAAAATTTTAACCTGCTTTCGGAGAAGGATTCAAAATGCATGCAGACGGACTTGATGAATTCTTTCTCGGTAGCGATCAATATATTCGGCCAATTTGTTGATACACCGCCGGTACTGATTCTAAGGGCTCGTAATAACAAAAATCCCGACAAAAATAAGCCTGTGAGTGTCTTTCTTATCAATTCAAACGCACACGGGGGTGGAAAGCTACATTTTAATACACACACAAAATGCACACTACCCAAACAAACATCAATGTGTCATTTAGGTTGAGTCTGTGTGTTAATTTTGGTGGCAGACAAGAGTTTTGTGACAGAATAGTCGACTAACAAGTGGAGAATGTTAACTTGATACATCGAACAACCAAAGCAACATATCAAATGAAAATATTCGTCCATCTCACGGTATCCTATGATGGATTTGCAGTAGTGAGTTTAAACAATTAGGAGGTAAGGTAATACGATCCAGAAGCCTGGGCTCTGCTGCTACTTTGCATTTTCCAGAAGACAATTATATGCTACCGGAAAACATACAATAACAAAACTGCTTCCCATGTTTGCCTGAAATTGCAATAGTGTCCGACATTAGCACCCTAGAGAACTCGAAGTGGCAATGCAAGTGCCTATGATTTGTGAACGCTGGACGAATCACCTTAATCTTGAATTTTTGCAGCAAATTTTGGGGATATTCGAGATACAAGCAAGAATAGATGTTCTGGAGGTGTTTCTTGGGTTTGTACACGGGTACATTGCCTATGGGTTTGAGCACGGAGCAACATTATAAAATTATAAAATAACAAAACAAACGCGGCAGGCTGGGAACTCAGGCCTGCGTCTTGAACATTCACCTACTTTTAAGCGTGGGTAACGTAATTGTTAAGGGGAAGTTCACCGCTCCGCAAAAATAAAAACGTTATGATTTTTCAAAACATGTTGAAAAAAGATATCAAAAAACTTAACAAATCAATTTTTTTCTAATTTTTCAAAAAAAAAATCACAGGCAAAAATATTTTTTATAAATCATTATGGGTAAAGTTGGACTCAAAGAACTACAAAACATCGATTTTTTGGTTTTGCTGAGAGTCCAATTTTTTTTTTGATGAGATAGAAAAAATATTTTTACACTTAATTTTTGACAAAAATCCAAGGAAGAAATTGATTTTCTTGGATTTTTGATAATTTTTCCCAATATTTTTAGAAAAATAAAAACGAACCGAACATATTTTTTTTTATTTTCGGGCTGGTAAACTTCCCCTAAAGTCATATAAGAAGCGCTCATAGTAGGAAGGGAACTAGAACGTCTGCTCTTTATGCAAGCCGTCTCCCATGAGTACAATCATATGAGTTTGTACCTGTGTGTAAACTTGAACATCGTACTTGAGTACAAACTTGAGTATAAATGGGCTTGCACATATTCGAACATAGTGCAAAGTAAGTGCAAAACATTCGTATACTTTACATACACACCCATTTTTAATTGCCGAAAACCAGCAAAATTTCATTGGATTTTGCCGAGCTGGAAATACAGTAATTCATCCAGCAAAATATGATTGCTGAACGACCAACAAAATAAAGTCGCAGAAGTGACAGCTCTTCACTAGCGTGCACAGGAATCTTGGTAAGGAGGGGCAATTTTTTCTTCTATGGTGTATTTAGTCGGTGAATAGGGAGTACTCCAAAGTGCGTGGTGGATGGTGCTGTCCACCCACCACTGTTTGCCTACTGTTCAATTTAGCTAATTTTATCTATTTTTTTGCTCCGGTGGTGGTTCATCTTCTTCAATGCAAACTGCTCTCAGACAGCCAATGGAATGGGAAATTTAATCCCATCATTATCAATATACCTGATGACAATCGCGAAAATTGTAGTTCTATTTTTTTCAAATTTTTAACTAAATGCCAAGGCTAATAGGATCATTGAAAAGTTTTAAACAATATGTACAATATGGAACAAAATCGCACAAAATTATTTTGACAAACGAGTACAGGATTGTTAACGGAATTACGACTTGTGCGAAGGATTCAGCATGTCAACCTTGTCCCAAAGTACCGCCAGTCGGGGTGACAGGAAATGATGCCGAACATTTAACTTGTTTTAAAGACGATATAAAGGACAAACCCGAATTTATTCCAACGCACATAAACAGCTGTAACTTTATAACCACGGTAACAAATGTTCTGAAATTTTCAGAGAAGTCTGAAATCCCTTAGAGTTTCAAAAGAATTACCTCAGTATTATCCAGAAATTATTCCCGGAATGAGCTAGAAATTATCGGTACTTCCTTGAAATTTTCCTCAAACTCTCTTTGCAATTTTGTTCAAAATTTAATTTTCTCGGTATTCTTTTCAGAATTATCTTGGAGCTATCTGCAGGATTCACTAGAAATTATTCAAAGAATTTTCTTGGAATACTCTCCAGAAATGCTTTGGAACTGTCCTCAAAATTCAATATGCTTGAGGTTCTTCTCAGATTTTAGAACTCTCCTAAGAGTTTTTTTGAATTTCATTTCAGAAGTCCACTGGAATTTTATTTAGAACTCTTCATGATTTTTTATCAGAACACCTGGAAACAGAAATTCCTTTAGAGTTTCAGAATTTTTTCCCGGAATGAGCTTGAAATTATCCTCGGAATTCGAAATTATCCTCGGAATTGCTTAAAATCCCTTTGGAATTTTACTCAATTCTTGATTTTCTCGGTACTATTTTCGAAATTATCTTCCCAAGTAACACATAAAACATCTTTTTGGAAAAGAATTAGAACGGCTTGTTGTATAAATGTATTATAAGAGATGCAGAAAACATCCCACGTTATATATGAGGTTTAAAGATGTTTTCTTCATACTTCTTTGATTCAACATTTTCCAAAATAGTTTTCTTTTGCTTTTATCTTTAAATGTTATTTGAACGTGCATCTTACTGTTTTAATACCACTATAAAACTTGTCGTATACAAAATCAATCCAGATTGACGTAAACATTGACGGTGCCTTTGAGCCGGACTGTGACGGATCGAAGGCGTGATGAACGAGAAAATAATTGTCATGCCATTGGCAAGAACATGCTAGATACTTATAACAAACCTTTCATCAAGCGGTGTTGGTCTAGTTAGGTAGTAACAAGTCTACCACGCCAAGGACCAGTGATCGAATCCCATGCTCAAGTTTTTTTTTATTGTTTTTTTTTTGTCGCTGGTTTTTATGATGTTTCCAAAACATGTTATAAGACCAGTTTTTAGTTGTATAAGCTCCGCGTCTTGCGCTTTTTAGGTTGTATAAATGTATCAAATGATGTATATTAAAGTATTAGTGATTCTTTGCGTTAGTCATTACAAAGTATTTTCAACTTCTTTATGACAAGCCGTGTTGCTTGGGTTGGAACTATCTGCAGGATGCACTAAAAATTATCCGCAGAATTTTCGTTGAACTCTCCCCAGAAATATTTTGGAACTGCTCTAAGAATTCAATATCCTTGAGGTTCTTCTCGGAATATTTTAGAACTTTTTTTTTTTCAGAACACCTTGCAGTTGAAATTCTCCTAAAGTTTCAGAAGAATTTACTCTGTGTTCTACAAAAAAAATTTCCAGAATGAGCTTGAAATCATCCTCGGAATTCCCTTGATCAACCCTTTGAAATTTCATTCAAAATTTGATTCTCTCGGTATTATATTCGAAATTATCTTGGAACTATCTGCAGGATTCACTAGAAATTATTCGCAGCATTTTCATGGAATCATCCCCAGAAATATTTTTTCGGAACTGTCCTCAGACTGCAATACCCTTGAGGTTCTTCTCGGAAGTCAAGTTTAAGTGATCCGTCCATTCACCAAAACGTTGTAGTTTTTCTATCAGAAATGTTCAATTCAGCTTGTTTCTCCATGCAGCAGATTGTTGCAAATCTTGCACCAGAAATTTTCAATATAAACTTGCCCTCAGGTAATTTTACACAGAAAATTTAAATTGACTAGAGCGAGGCAAATTTTCCACCTTTAATGTTCAATAAAAATTGCTTCTCCAACAGGGTTAACTACCCCTTTTTCGGCCTATAAAACACAACCCGCACTTAGTCTTCCTTAATATAGCGCAGTTTAGCACCAAACGGAATGTTATTATAACTGATGGCTTCTAAATTTATTTACCTTTCCGTACGTACCGAAAGGTTTGATAAAGTGAAACAAATTGTTGAGATATTTTTAAAAGTGTAACACTCGGCCTACGGATTCTAAACTCGGCCTAACGCATTGTAACGCCATTGAAACGCCAATGAATTCACTTCGGCCTATCGGATGAAGATAAAAATTGATTCGGTAGGAGCGCTTCTTTTGTTTTTGGGAATAATGGGTGCAAACCTCCATATCACGCGTTTTCATTGACTTAGTTCGGTAGCTTATTAACTAAAGTATCGTATCAAACGCATAATTGACTTGTTAACTCTGTAATCATGGATTTATTTGAAGTTTTCTGCTCGATAGGCCCAAAATGGGCGATTAGGCCGAAGTAGTTCTCTACCCTATTCTGATTTGTGCAGATTTCCTCTTCCATTTTGCTTTTCCTATCATCAGAATTTTGCAGGTTTTTCACCAAATAAAGCTTGCACCTATTTTCAGATTTTTCATCATAAATTTTCAGTACAGCAACTTTCCTTCAATCATCAGAATGGTGCAAATTTTACACCAGAAATTATTATTAATTTTTTTTTTCTCTATTTAGCAGAAGGATGCAAATTTAAGACCATTAATTTTCCGTAAAGCTTGCCCATCCGTTCACCAGAACGGTGTAGATTTTCCACCAGAAATTTTCAATATGGCTTAATTTTAAATAAAGCTTTACATTCTTTTACCAGACCAGCGCAAGTATTCCACCAGAAATTTTCTGTTCATTTCATTTATCAGAGCGATGCATATTTTGCACCAGAAATTTTTATTAAAGCATGCTCCTCCATTCAAAAATTGTAAGTGA